AACTAATCTCTTTCATGAGAGCTCATCATCTCCTAATGTCCCCCCCCACACACAACATGACAACATGGCAGTTGGGGTTTTCAGACCATAGCCCCCTGCGCTGTCACCTCTGCTTGTCAAGCCTCCTAGCTCCCGGGGCTCTGCAGGTACCTTCTCGACACGGCCATCAGGCAACACCTGCATTCAGATCTCTAGTCTGTTCCTTAGCAGATGGGTGTCATGGGTGTCCCAGGCAGTCAAAGAACATTCTAGACTCAGCACCTCCTCACTGTTGTCTCTACCACCTTTCCCCCAGCCCTGAGCCCTGTGTCCCCTGCCTTTCCTTCTCTTTTCCTTCCCCATAGGGGTCGTGCAATGCTAACCCATCCCACCTGACCCATCCCTGCCATGCGCAGTTAAAGCCCAGAGCCACCCTTTCTAGAGCTGTCAGCCTGTTTAGGCTCCTTGCCTACAAGGCATGAAGCAGCCACTGGTTCCCAGGCATTTGTGGAGCACCTGTTTCGTGTCTCAGGTGGACCAGTGGGCATCAGGTGAGCTGCACACCTGTGGGCTTCCCTGGTCACAGCTGTGCAGGGCCAGCCCCAGGCCATCCCCCTTCAGGTCTGCACCTGCCTTGCTCAAGCCCAGCCCCCTGCCGGAAGCTACAGCTCGAGCCACGTCTCAGGAGGCACTAATCATTGGCATCAATTTCCAGAATCCTAAGACACATTTTTTTTTTTCTTCTGAAACTAATTTCGTGTCTTACAATTGATGTGTTTATTTAATGTTGGGCTTTCATTTATTTTATTATTTTTTCTTTTCTTGTTTCTGGGAAACCCTTCTTTCTCCCCACTCCCTGAAGGCATTATTTAGCTCATGATGGATCTTTCAATTGGTGGCATTTTGGCCTTGGGGAAATATGATAAATGCATCATGTAATCAGGGACATCTGGAGATTATTTTTTTAACCTGAAAGAGCGACTCTAATGGGAAGAACTGCAGGTTGTCTACTAATGGGGGAGGCATGTGGGGATGTCGCTGCTGTTTAGATCTCACTGGTCCTTGGTTTGTCACAGACCTGTGTATTCCGGAGCTTCATTCCCTGGGTCTTTAAGACCAAACAGAGCAGCTGTTACCTAGTATTGTCACAATCTATGTGACATAGGGCTGAGCATGGGTCCAGAGGCTCAGAATGGGGGGTGGGGGGGTCTCCTGGCTTCAATTTGCTTCTGAGCAGGATGATGAGGCTGAGGGGTAGAGATGAGGTGGGGGGTGGAGATGACAGGCAAGGGGTGCAGAGTCCCAGAAAGGAAGTCAAAGGACCTTGGCAGGCAGAGATTGCCTGAAATATTATGGAACACAGCAACATTTATTCTCTTTTCCTTTGCAGCCCACTTTGAGGGGCATCTGCTCTCACTTCCCTGTGTGTCAACTGGAAGGCCCAGGCTGCAGGAGGCAGAAACCTCCTCAAGCTGGGCCATCGGTCCTCTGCTCTGTGGGCCTCCACAGCAACCTGCAGGCTCCCCGGGGCAAAGGAGGCTCCCCCTGCAGGAGGGTTGTGGGAGAGCGGGAGGCCACTGCTGCTGCTGCTCCTAGCAGCAGGAGAGGCTCCACCAGGGCCCCAGAGTGGGGATGCTGACCCATCCCTGCCATGCGCAGTTAAAACCCAGACTCGCCCCGGGGCCTACATGCCCCTCTCTTTCCCATTCAATTTCAAATTTATCTTCATCCCGCTTCAGTACCTCAGTCCCTTGGAGACAGTATTGTCCCCTCACTCCCTCCAATAGTCAGGCATACACCCGGGAATTTCCTGAGCACCAGCACCAAGCAGGTGCATTGGGGATCCAGAAAGAGTGAGGGCTCTGAGCTCAGCTAGTGGGGGCAGTCACTGTGAGGGACAGCTCAAGGTTGCAACCGCCAGGTGCCCAATGGGTGGGAGAGGCAGGGATTTCTACAGAGCTGGGAGGAGGAGGGTGTTTCTGGGGGCTGGTGGGTAGGGAGGCATTTGGGAAAGAGTGCAGAGGTGGTGCAAGACCTTTAAAGATTTGGGGAAGGCACTGGTGAGATGCCAGCAAAGGTCCTCAGTGGGAATGTGCCCAAGTGCCTGGAATTCTGAGTTGACCGACACAGGGGACTGGGGAGGGCTTGGTGGAGTCTGTGGCAGGATGGAACTTTAATACAGGCTAGGCAGGTCTGGACTTCACCAGTGAGCATTGGGGGCTCTCCACCTGAGGGCAAGCCAGTGGAGAAACTTGGTTAAAGTCCTTTGCTCCATGTATGGGATTGGCTTTTGTCCTTTAGAGCCACACTGTCTCATATGGAAGCCACTAACCACAAGTGGCTATTGGGCAATTGGAATGTGGCTAGGCCCAACAGATGTGCTGTAAGAACCAATGCACACCAGGCTTCAAAGGCTTATGGGAAAAAAAAAGAACGTAGAATATCTCAATACTTTTTTATAACAAAAACATGTTAAAGTAATATTTTGGATATATTGAGTTAAGTAACAAAAATTAACTTCACCTTTCTCTTTTTATTTTTGAAAGGTGATTACTCAAAAATTTTACTGACCAAAATGGCTCAAGCTATAAATCTATTAGCAGGGCTGGGTGGTGAAGTGAGCCGCAGGGGACCCAGTGCCTGGACTCATCAAAGTCACAATTTGAAAGGCAGAAGGCTCCTGGCCTTATTTGGAATACTTATGGAAATTAAGGTTCTAGACAGTTCTGGCTCACTTGGAGTCAAGTTTTTCTTTTCATTTCTTTTAGGAAATAAGTAGGGTTTTTTTGTTTGTTTGTTTGTTTGTTTTTTTAACCCAGGGATTGAATCCAGGATGTGAGCCACACCCCCCAGCCCTTTTTTATATTTTATTTAGAGACAAGTTCTCTTGCTAAGTTGCTTAGGGCCTCACTAAGTTGCTGAGGCTGATTTTAAATTCACAATCATCCTGTCTCAGCCTCCTAAATTGCTGGGATTATACAGGTGTGTGCCACACACCTGGTGGTCTTTTTTTTTTTTTTACGTCTATCAATGACATACACATGATTTCCAAACTTCACTAGATCAATATAAGACACATTTAGTAAAACAACTATTGTTGGCCTCTGCCCTCACCTTGGTCAAACTCTGTCTGACCGAGTTTGTCAGTCAAACTCCCTCCAGCTCAGCACTTCCAACCCTTCTTCAGGCATTTACTTCCTGATATATATAAATTACTAAATAAATTTCAAAAAAATGATTAGATGCAATTTGTTGATTTTTCAGTTTCTGACACTATGTTCTTCATATTATGGAACAAGTGTCCTTTTCTGTTCTAGCAGTTTTATTTGTTAATATATAAATATTGTTTACTGCTGAGCCAAGTGGTGCAGAATAATTGCACTTTCATGTGCAACTTTTTTTCCTGGAAGTAATCATTACTCATTGCTTTTTTATTTTTACACATTCTTACCAAATTCTCAATCAATATGTAAAATTCCTCCAAATATTATTTTATTGTAGCCATATTTATTAGCAATCTTATTGTTTTCATTCCCCTCCCCTCTGAATACTATTTGGGGATACTCACCCTGATGAGGAGCCCCTGCCCAGCTTGGGAATACCCCACCTTTGGGATGCAATCCCCTATTTCATTGATCTTATTTCTTGGTTTGAGTCAGTTCATCTTTGAGAAAGGATAATAAGAAGGTTATTTTTTTTTTTAAATGGCTTTATTCTATTCCCACTTTGATTAATGGTTTGGCTGAACAGAGAATTCTAGATTGAAGAACATTTTTCCCCCCTCAGGAGGCAGTCGCTCTGTAGTTTTTAAGCTTTTAGTATTGTTTGAAAAATCCAATGCTATTCTGATTTCTGATCTTTTGCATGGGATCTATCTGATTTCTCTCTGGAAGGTGCTAGAAGATTGTCTCTTTGTTCTGTTTGAACATTTCACAATGTGGTGCCTCAGTCTGAGATTCTGGTCCTCATCTCTTTTGCTGGGCACTCAGAGTGTCTTTCCTATCTAGGAACACAGACCTTCAGTTCTGGGAAGTAGTTTTTGTAATTATTTTCATAATTTCCTCTTCAGTGTTTCTTAGGTTCTTTCTCTCTTACTAGTGAAATGTGCAGGGAGTCTTCTGCCCAACCTTTTCTCATTCTGCTTCCTGGGAAATGTCCCCGACTTCATCTCCATCCCTGCTGTTAAACTTCACATTTCACCTCGTGTATTTATAATTTCTAAGAGCTCTTTTTCTTGTGTTCTCATTGCTCCCTTTAAAAGAGCTTCCTGGATCCAACATTTTATTTCTCAGAGGATATTAATTACAATGTTTTGAAATTTATTTTCCTTCTAGTGCTTGCATTTTTTTTTCTGCTCCTCTGAGTTCTTTTTCTTCTTTTTAAAATTGGCATGATCCCTCCCTTATACTTTGTAATCTTCCTGAGACTGGTCACCTTGGGCTGTGTGATCGTGTCAAAGAGCTTCCTAAAAGCTCTCCAGAAGCCCTATGTGTGACAAAGGACTTTTTGACTAATGGGCTTCATTGAAGAGTGGCCAGTTGGGAACCCAGTCGTTTTTTTTTTATATATTTATTTTTTTAGTTATAGGTGGACACAATATCTTTATTTTACTTTATGTGGTGCTGAGGATCGAACCCAGTGCCTCATGCATGCTAAGTGAGTGTTCCACCTCGGAGCCACAATCCCAGCTTAAATCCAGCCATTTTATTGAGGTGCCTCCAACTGGAACTATCTGTTGAGCATTCTGGGACCACTGGTTTTCTTTAGAGAAGCATTCTCCAGTGTCCAGTCCAGGATGTGTGGGTCCACACACCTCATGACAGGGTTTTTGGAACCAAGGGGCAGAAGAAGGTAGAGAGTCTCAAAGTTCCATGGATAGATTTTCACTTAATCCTGTTTTGCACAGTGCTGTACTGGGAACTTTCTGGGAGGGGAAGTCACTGCCCTGCATGGGAAAGGGTATGAGCCCCTTGCGTAACTGCCCCTTTTGACAGACTTATCATTAGTCTTCCTCTTCTTAGCTTGATCCTCTTTCGTGACTTGCAAAGGAGTCACTGCCTCCAATTCCTGACCCCTCCAGCTTCATGTGGCAAGCCTTGTCCCCTTCTTGTTGATTGCCTCTTTGGTAGGTGCTTGGTTTTTGATTTCTCAGTTCTGCTAATTCCTCCATCTGATTTCCATCTTTTAAAAATCTGTTGACATCTCTTGCTTGCTTGATGCCACCCCTCCTGGCATCTCTGTCCTTGTATGTTTATCTTCTTCTTTATTTCTTGGCTCTTATCTTGGCGGGGTTTGGGAAAGAGCAGGGATGTACTGAATCTGCTGACCTTCCTTCAGTACCAGGTCTACATCTTTACCTCATTTAAAGGTCTCCTCCAGTACCCAGATCTAGACTTCTGCTCATGGAGCATTTGTAAGGCTTTCCTGTCATCAAATGCAATTTTCTTTAGAAAAGTACCAGAGTCTAATAAATTAAATGTCACTTGAGCCCAGCTTATACCTGGGTATGTTTGTCTTTAAGGAAATTACATTGCTGTAATAAATTGATAATTATTTAAATAAAGCAATTATTTTCTGTGAGTTCCCCTCCCTCTTTAAAACTGCATGCAAAGCAGCTTCTGGTTGCTTCCTCTGTGGAAATTAGGACTTCCTCTTGGTTGGGTCTTAGCTAGCCAAGGCTTTGGTGAAGTTCAGAGCTTGGCTAGGCTGCCCTACATTTTTTTTTTCTATGTGACATCTATTTTAAAAAGCTTCAGCCAATGAGATTGCATGGGAAAAGTCTAATTCCAGAAAGCCAAACCGCAGCTAGGGAATCTTAAAAACCCTTTAACAAGTGTGTTATTTATATGTAGGATGTTCACCTATTTATATAAATACACATTCTTCCCCCCTCCAGCACAACATGCAGAGCCTTTACTTGGTGGCATTAAAGATGACCATTTGTGTATAAAGGTGATGGGATCGCTGTGTTCTAAGGGTCTTGAGTTCCACCAGCTCCAGGCTGGCCCCAACCGGAGAGTCCCCGTGTTGATCCTTGGGACCCCTTTCTTTTCCTGTGTAGGCGGAGTCAGGAGCGTGTGTCCGTCCACTCCCTAGAGTTGGGCAAGTCACCTCACCTCTCTGACCCTCTGACTTCTCTGTCTTTGCCTCCCCAGGTGCCCCCTTTCAAAGGTCTCAGCATCCTCACGCTACCTCCTGCCGCCACTTCCATCTCGGCCCTCCGCAGCCGCAGCAGCTCGCCCCAGACTTCCCGCTGGCCCACCCCGTGCAGTCGCAGCCGGGCCTCAGCGCCCACATGGCCCCGGCCCACCAGCACAGCGGCGCCCTCCACCAGTCGCTGACCCCGCTGCCCACCCTGCAGTTCCAGGACGTCACAGGTCCCTCCTTCCTACCTCAGGCCCTGCACCAGCAATACCTCCTGCAGCAGCAGCTCCTGGAAGCCCAGCACCGCAGGCTCGTCTCGCACCCCAGGTGGGCTACCCGGAGAGGGGGCGGGGCCAGTGAAAAGGGTGGGGTGGAGGACGAGGCCAAAGGCAAGGACACTGGCTTCTTCCCTCCAAACTGGGCCTGTAGTCACCAGGAGACTGTGCAGGAGGTAGCTTTTGCCTCAGTTGGTGACATTCATTTCAGGCAGTGGGCACTACTGTGACCCTAGTATGTGTCCCTGTCACATCATCCAGGTGCAGGGTCGGGGGTTGGGTAACCAGCAGTCCATGATGCTCACAGTGGACCTTTGACTCATGTGGGAGGTCCCCTAAGTCTCCTGATCAACTGATTCTAACACCCAAGAACTATAAAGAATACCAAAGGATGTTGGTTCCAGCTCTGCCTTCAAAGGCGATGGTCTAGTCAGAGTCCAGTTGTATACCATGAAACAGCTGGAGAGGAAATTTAGTCAACACCAATCAAACGGGTCTGAAGTAGCTGTGGGGACCTGGGCAAGTCACCTCACCTCTCTGACCCTCAAATTGCTAAGAAAAAGAATTGGATTACCATAATGGTTCTCAATTTTTTGGTTCTCCAAACTCTTTTTACATTCTTAAAAATTAATGACTTTAAAGAACTTGTGTTTATGTAGGTTAGAATGTTGATGCTTCCCATATTAGTTAAAAATTATTTAGGAACTCATGTAAAAACAACAACAAACTTATGTTAAACCAATAAAGTATTTTTATTAAAAATGACTATACATAAATTTAGTGAGAAGAGTGAGTTTTTTTTAAATGTATTTGAAAATCTCTTTAATATTCAGCTTAATAGAAAACAGTTGTGACTTTGCGTTTATTTCTGCACTAAATCTTGCAGAAACACATACACAAAGTTTCTGGGAAACCCCAGTGTTCACCTGTGAGAAAATAAGGATGAAAAGGCAAATAACATCATAGTCTTGTTAAGAACATTGTTTTGAGCTCTCGAACCACTGGAAGGAGTTCGGGGACCCCCAAGGGTACTGGGGCACTTTGAGAGCCACAGGACTGCATGATCGCTAAAGCCCTAAGCTTCCATGGCTGGAGGGTTTGGGGTGCCTGGGACAACAGGTGAGTGTTGAAGGGGTCAGGAAGGAGAGGTCACCGTGATCTGGGGTGTTCTGGAAAGCCTTGCTGGTGGAGGCAGACTTTGACCTGGGCCATGAACACTTGAAGAGTATGGAGAAGGAAGAAGAGAAGAAGAACATGGTGGGAACAGAGGAGAGGAGGAGAGGGCTAACAGGAGAGGGTTCTGTATGTTTGAAGATGGTCCATTAGGGACAGAGCAGGAGCAACAGAAAAGGCTGAGGAGGTGACAGTTTGAGGGGGGTCAGGTGGTCTACTGCAGACACACCTAGAGAGAGATGTCAATTTAGTGGGCAGCCTGGAGACAGCTGGAATGTCAGAGTCACCAACTCCTGAGCCTCTGGGAAGCTTCCTTAGAGGTTGAGGAGAAGGTGGAGCCCACTGCCCTGTAGTGGTTGGAGGAGTGGGGCATCCTCAGGTTGGCAGGTCACTGAGGCAGCCCTTGACACCTTGGGACCCCTTTCTTTTCCCGTGTAGGCGGAGTCAGGAGCGTGTGTCCGTCCATCCCCATCGCCTCCACCCCAGCTTTGACTTCGGCCACCAACTGCAGACGCCTCAGCCCAGGTATTTGGCTGAGGGCACTGACTGGTGAGTCTCTGGGGTCCTGGGGGAGGGAAGAAGGTGGGTCTTGCCAGATCCAGGGATTTTTTGTTTTCCTTCACTTTGAATGATGTAGGAAGCCTTGTCCTTAGTCCCCAGCCTTTGCACCTGTTCCCAGCCAATCTCATGGCCAGATGGCTTCACCTGGGCCTTGTTCCAGCAATTAGCTCAGATGTAACTGGGCACCACCATGTGTCCAACCTGGGGCCCAGTGTTCATGGTCCTGCAGGGGACGGGGAGACAGGGATGCAAAACATTTCCCAAGTTCAGTGGAGCTATGAACTAGTGATCCCTGGGAGAAAGACAGGAAAACAATTCCAAGAAGGTGAGGGAGTCGGGGAAGGCTTCCTGGAGGGGGTGGTGTTGAGGGATGGAGATAGCTGGCTACCTTGGAGGTAAAGGTGGGGAGAAAGCTGAGAGTTTTGGTTTTGTTGAGTTTCAAGGCAGAGGGCGCCTGTGAAGTCTTCCCATCATTTCCTGCACTTGGCACAGAGGTCTTTGTTGTCCTGGGATGTAAGGTTGTTTGGTTTTGGATCCTGGGCCCCACCCAGCTCTCTGTTTCTAGCTCAAAAGAGGGCTCATCTTAACTGATTAGAACGCTCAAATACTTTTAAAAGATGTGCAGTTTGCTGAGGATTTTGAGGTAAAGAGCATCATGTCTGCAATGTATTTCTAAAGAATTCAGTTTAAAAAATTGTCTCTCCACAGAGGTGTGTGGGTGTGTATGTATATTAATGTGTTATATATGTGTATATATACGTAATTCTGTATGTATATGGACATATATTATATATGTATATATATAACACACACACACACACACACAC